CGTTTTAAAACTTTAACCTAACTAGTATCACTTTACTTGTTTGTATACTTTTTTATTGCAGCATTTATTTTGTTTGGGATACTTCTTATAGCAAGTCTACGAATAACCAACGATCCTTACTTTCGGTTGAAATTTTAATTTTCTTCCCTATTTATTTGTTCAGTTTTTATATCTCCATGGAATTGACACAGAATCTATAAACTTTCAGTATAGCCATATCCCTGATAGCTATAACTTTTACAAGAATTAAAACCACAATCACAAATAAGGATTACATTTTATAAATTTGTGATTGTAGTTTTAATTCTTGTTTCGTAACTTTTTGTAGCAGATCCCTAGTTTATTTTAAAAAATCGTAATTATTAATACTTCTGTTTGTTTACTTTTTATGTTATACCTGTATAAAGTGTATACTTTACCTTTAGACGATATGTAGCGCCATCTATTGGGTTAAATTGGGTTTAATAGATATTTAAGTACGTGCAAGATATGTTTACCATATATAAAAATTCTGTATATACTTATAGGAATATCAAGTCAAGTAAGCTGGAGAAATCTTGTAGCGATAGTCCAAGCAGTCTAGTGGTTAGCCCCACTGATGGTGATCAGGTAGTAGACCAAAGAGTTGCTGCTTTATACATTTTTTAATTGTTATACCGGAAACGTTAGCGACCTCTTTATCGTATTATTAGAATATATACGCATAATATATCGTAACCAATAAATTGAATGGTCGGTTTTTTTTTCGCTTAGGAATTCAATAGGGTCGTTTTTCGACGCTTGAATTATTTTGAAACCTTGTCGATCCCGACTATTAAGTTGTACCGTAAGTAATTATACAAACTTATTAATTCAAAATCTACAACTGTATTATCTATATAAACTTATTAATTCAAAATCTACAACTGTATAATCTATATAAACTTATTAATTCAAAATCTACAACTGTATAATCTATATAAACTTATTAACTCATAATCCACAACCGTATAATCTATATAAACTTATTAGCTCAAGATCCACAACCGTATAATCTATATAAGCCGAAAATTTATACCCATATAATCTATATAAACTTATTAGCTCAAGATCCACAACCGTATAATCTATATAAGCCGAAAATTTATACCCATATAATCTATATAAACTTATTAGCTCAAGATCCACAACCGTCTAATCTATATAAACTTATTAGCTCAAGATCCACAACCGTATAATCTATATAAACTTATTAACTCAAGATCTCCAACCGTGTAATTTATATAAGTCAAAAGTCTACAACCATGTAATCTGTATAAGCTTATTAGCTCAAGATCTCCAACCGTGTAATTTATATAAGTCAAAAGTCTACAACCATGTAATCTGTATAAGCTTATTAGCTCAAGATCTCCAACCGTATAATCTATATAAGTCAAAAGTCTACAACCGTGTAATCTGTATAAGCTTATTAACTGAAGATATGTAACTGTATAATCTATACAAGCAGGTGTGAAGCTCTCAAAGAAAAGGAGAGGTATTCAGCTGGGTGAAGTGGACCTGTTTTTTTTTAAAAATCTACGAGTAAACATAAAAAATCACAGAGCAGCTCAAATAAGTCCCGGTACTAGCACCGCCTTAAAAAATATGTTCCGGTACTCAGTATCGGTGAGTACGGCCAGAATTTCACCCCTGTATATAAGTCTATTAACTTCAAATCTACAACTATATGATCTATATAAACTTATTAACTCTAGATCTACAACAGTATAATCCATATAAACCTATCAGTTCAAGTTTATGGATAGTTCATAATTTTCACAGTTAGAATGAGGGTGTTTGTGTGACGAAAACCGTGTTGTCTGCTAGTATTTCTACTGCTAAACTAGGAGATTCAGACACCAGATAGAAAAGGTGCGAACAAGAAAAAAAATTCCTATCACGTTGAATTTATTGCATTTTGGGGGGGGGGGGCATTCAGCAAATAGTAACGCAGATTATTTATATGACCAATGTCAACAGTAATGCTAGCTATATCGATAGATGGCACTACCGCAACTTGCTACAACTGCTGATAATGACCTTGAAGACTAACATTCCAAACATTTTATTTCAAAGAAAGATATATATATATATATATATATATATACATAAATAAAACGAGGTGCGTTTTTACTATGCATCCTTACCAATCTAATTTTGAACCTAGTTTTTCTCCCATTAAAATATAACTTCTGACTTTTTTTGAAACACTAAAGTTATTCTTACGCTAAATATTGTTTTAATTAAGCATTTTTGGTATTGTTCGAAAGAAACCATTTTTTAACAGTCCCACACCGATCAACATACGTATACAGATTGAGACTGGAAACAAATCCAAGTCTGTTTGAAATAAACCTCTTGTTTTTAAAACGTTAGTACGTGTACAGATCGGTACTAGAGATCGTTACATTCAGTTTTGACTACTGTTTTTCACTGTAAGCATAAAGATGTCCAAAAATCTATCAAAATTTCGAATTATTCAGAAAATTGACACATATAACATGGAACGTAAATGAAACTTATTCTAAGAAATACTGTACAAAAGGATTAAACTCTTACAGCATTTAAACCTATCAGAAAATACACTAATTATTCTGTACTTTATTAGCTTAATATTGTTACGTCTCTGGTCGTTCGTTTGTTAATTTTCCGTAGAAATTCTTTCCGAGAAACTTCAGCGATACAAGTCCTTTCTTAAATAAAACTAGTTTACTCTTTCTCAACTCAACTTTGCAATACACTTAATTTCCACAGTAACTTTAACTTAAACACACGCTATAATTCACAACGATTCACGCATTTTACTTAAGGTCACTACCACGCTTGACTCAATTGTACGTCTCTGACTCTGCCTGTCTGCAATTTTATCCTCGATTAATTGTCTCGCTTTATCTGGCGCGCTTATATACAGGAATAGAGGGCGTCTAGCAAATACTGGATTATTCGTGATGTTCCCCGAT